TATTTCTAAATTGTATAAAACAATTGCATTTCTTGAAATTACACCCGACGTTACAATAAAATATTTCAAGATGAATGTATTTAAACTATATAACCTTTTATTTATTTTATATGAAATAAGTTATAACCTTAAATGAAACTCGTTTAAAATTTCCAGCTTAACTTTTTGTCATTTTAATATATACTCGCTTAGAAACTCTTCGTTTAGATCAGTGTTTCTCAACCTCTAACGAATCGTTGCCCCTTTCAACGTAGTATCGCCCCCTTCACTTCAAAATTCCGATGCCCAGGGCCAAGGCTAACGCCAAATTCGTACTGCATTGAATATACTAGTGACTAGTATAATGTTATTTGTTTAATTATTGTACGATATAACGAATAAAATATCTAATTATTCTTAATATAATGTTTTACTATATCGCCCAGAAAATTGTTTTTCGCCCCCNTAGGGGGTGGCGAGCAGGGCAATCGCCCGGGGCCTCGCTCTTGGAGGGGCCTCGCGCAACAACCAAGTAGAAAAAAGTTGATATTTAAAACTTTTTATTTTATCCTTGGCTATTAGTTATAACAATAAAATAAATTTAATTTATAGTACAGTATATATTAATATTAATAAGTGCCTACTATTTCAATTCACATACTTTGCACAAAGGACAAAAGCCTCGCAAAGTTCTGCCGCCCAGAGCCTCGCAATGGATAAGGCCGCCGCTGAATTTGTAAATGTAGGAAGTAAATCTCCGAAAGCCATAAAATATATGAATAAAATCAATAAAACAAAAACAGATTTATATTCTGTTTTGCATTTTTATTCATTTTTTAATTAATTAATTTTTTACATAAAAGATTAAATTTTGGGATCCCGTAAATGTTTCAATGAATACTTAAAAAATGAAATTTAATATAAAATTATTTCTATTTGGGACACCGCAAGATCTATGCCCTCTACTAAAACCTTAATTTGTTTACAGAGTAATTACAACTGAGTAACGGTCGATTTAAACGGATTTATAAAAGATTAATCGGCATTAAATCAGTTTCTACGACATGTAACAGGTTCTAAAGGTCATGTGAAAAACCCTCGAAATTAACATTCTTTGCAGCGACAACGTAACATGACGAAATAGGAAACGCGTCGTCTATAATTTATGACGTGTTTCCGATCGTCACGTGCTAATTTTTACACAAGAATCTGATTTCATTAAGTTTAATTTATAAGATAATAATCATATAAAAGCTATTTGTAATTTTATGNCTACGCTGTTCACTCACATCATGCTGCTTTTCCATACGCTTACTATCCCGCACATGGTGTTTTCCCTGTCGTTTAAACCAAAGGTAATAAATGAATTACAACATTTAAGAAAATACTGTATATCTCGGGAAAAACTTAAAATATAACTGTTATTTTTCTTTTTTAGATTTCTGAACTTCTTGAATAGTTGGAAAAATCTTCAAAATGCCACTTCGAATGTTGCTTCTCCTTCAAAACTTAATTATCTACTGTAAATAGAACTTGATCTATTTAATAAATAGTTTTCGACTCTATATTTTTGTTTTATTTAATTTTATCGTCATTAAGAAACAATTAAAATTTTATTCGGGTAAAGTTTTCGTTAAATAGTTCAATTAACGTGGTTCGATGCTTAAAACATGCAAATTTTCAACGCTTTATATTTGGAGTTATCCTTGATTTTCAATGTAAAAATAAAAGATATTACAGCTTCTATACAATAATTTTATATGGAAAAAAAGTTAAAATTTCATGTAAAACAAAATTCATTTTTTATACGATAATATGAACATTATAAAATTGATTTTAAAATTATTCTTAATAAGAGAAATTTTAATATTAGTCTACTTTCTGAACATGACATATATTAATAATTTAGAAAATAAGAAAATAAATTTTATAATAAAATAATCATAAAACTGTAAATAAATGAACCTAAGAGCATTTTCTCCTGCTCTACTAATCAACTGAATACATTACTGAAGATTCTCCTCTGTACATAAAAACTTATACGGAAAATTTTTAAATGTTTTGATATTTGTTGTTTCAAATACAAACTTAAAAAATAAACAATCTAAAAAGTTACTCTTTTTTGATAATAAGAGACTTAAATGTTTTGAATTAGAGTTGATTGACTATCTAAAATCGACCAAAAAAGCATTGAAAAGAAAGGGTAAACATTTCTAATTAGGGAGTAAGCAAAGCGAGTTTGTTGATATCAGTTTCAGCAATTAATTGATGGTATTTCATTTTGTTTTAACTGCAGCATTCTAATAGCTATTGCGTTGAAGTTTTCTTTTGTATATTTAACATAATATCTGGTAATAATAATATAATAATTGGTTTGTAGACTAATTAATACATTAGATTTGATTAGAGATGTAGACTAATTATTGCCATTAAATAAAAGAGTCAATTTAATAGTTTTATATCTGTTAAGATATTGACTTGTTTGTTAATATATTGTAATAAATATTTTAACTTTAATTAGCGAATTTAATAAAATTTGTCTTAATAACTACGTAATAACTATTGATACATACAATTTATATACAGGGATATGGAGCTGTATTCTGTTCCTTATCTCTCGTTTCTCAGAGGAAACGACCGGAATACAGCTCCAAGTTTGTCATTAATTTGTACAGTGGCGGCCTTAGGGGGTGGCGAGCAGGGCAATCGCCCGGGGCCTCGCTCTTGGAGGGGCCTCGCGCAACAAACAAGTAGAAAAAAGTTGATATTTAAAACTTTTTATTTTATCCTTGGCTATTAGTTATAACAATAAAATAAATTTAATTTATAGTACAGTATATATTAATATTAATAAGTGCCTACTATTTCAATTCACATACTTTGCACAAAGGACAAGGGCCTCGCAAAGATCTGCCGCCCAGAGCCTCGCAATGGATAAGGCCGCCGCTGCT